ATATATATATATATATATATATATATATTGAATAACATTTAGTCTCTATCCTACTAAATTATTATTTTTTAATTTCATTTATATATATATATATATATATATATATATATATATTTTCGTCTTTACTGATTGATGAATGTTATGGGAAAAAAGCTAAACAGATATAGGGACTTAAATAAAAAATAATTAAAATTAAGATGATTAAATAAAAATAATTAGTGTTAAAAGGATGAAAATTAAAATAATCCTATTTTGAAAAGACTAAACATCTATTTAAGATAACTTTACAAAGCTTAAACTTTAACTTATACTTATATAAAGTAAAAATATTAATTTTTAGACAAAAAAAATTAAACCTTAAAAATAAAATATAACTGATATCAGAATGAGTGATAAGTCATGAGCATGAAACATTAAAAAGAGTTTTTTTATGTTTATTATAATTTATAAGAGATTGATGTAATATAGAAATGATGTTAATTTAATTTTGTTCATTATTCTAATTTCTTTATTATTTTATGTTCATATACACTATGATTCATTTTGCTATGACTATCATAATTTATGTTTAATTTTTCTATTTATATGTTATATTTACTTTTTCATTATATGACTTTTAAATGCCTTTTTATGTTCTAGATCCACGTTTCCCATACCTCCAGATCATAATTTTTCCTTTCAAAAGTCACGGTCCAAATTTCAACCCCGTGTATAGCATTTCTTTTTGTTTTTTTAGACAAAGTCGACCGTGTATTTCACTCAAAAATGGGGAAAATTAATAACTAGACAGGCCTACAAACAAATATCGAATGTTTTGTAAATTCTAAAGACATTGTCCAATTTTTATTTTATTTTACTTGTAAGAAGAAATAATAAATATATATAAAATAGTTATTCAAATATATAGTTATTAATATTAATATTAATATTGAATCACCAGAAGTAATCAAACATTGAAATAATATACAGTTCTATCCTTATTATAATCTTTTTTGTTAATAAAAAAAATTGACCGCATTAAAAAAATATTGATATTATCGTTATTTGTCCATATGCTTTTTAATTTTCATTATCATTACCTGGTAAGGTTGTTGTGTTGTGTATTTTCGATTGAATTTGAACATGATTCTTTTAAAAGAAAACTCTCATAAAACTTAAATAGAGGGACCTACAAAAAAGTGCGGAATGCTTGTTTAAATTCTACACCCATGCATGATCTACCATATCATTTTCTTTTAAAAGTCTTGATCCCACTTTCTCTGTATCGAAGAATATTGTATTCAAAATGTGAATTATCTAGAAGCTAAGAACCTACAAAGATATTCATTATCCATCATGCTTTTAGACCATAATCTTTGCTTTTAAAGTCTATTTCCAAATTTCATCAACTTGGATCGATGGTTGAATGTTTCATTGGCAAAGTAAAGTAGAGAAATCTACAAAGAAGCGTATGATATTTAAATTCAATATCTATGGTCCCATTTTATAATTAGGCTACAAGTCTTCGGATTTAAAGTCTTTTTCTGAATTTAGTTTATAATCTTTGTTGGTACTGGAATGGAATCGTTAATATTATTTCATATATAGATATATGTATTTGAAAAAGAATTTATTTTATCATTTTCCAATCTTATAATTTCTTTTAAAATATTTAATTTTGAAAATAAATTTAACTCATCAAGATCCAATAATTCAAAGATTTTTCAAGGTTTAGACATTTTTTTTTTCAAAAGTACACAATTCAGTGATTTTAATTTTTTTAATACTAAATAAAAATAAAAATATCTTCATATATTTAAAATTATTCAAATATACTTTGGAGTGTGGTAATTGCTTTATCTACAATATACAAAAAAAAAATCAATTCTAAATGACTCTTGAAGTGATTTTACAATTTCATTTTTAGCACTTTCATCAAATTGTTTCTTTTTATGACTAATGCGTTTTTTCACAAAATTTAGGCTCTACATTCATTTCAAAAGTAATTCCTTTAGTAGAAATCAATATATTTTCAAATCCATTTTCTCGATGTGTTTCAAAAAAATGAAAGAAAACCTTTTAATTGTTTAATGGCCTTATCAATGCACATATCTTTTGATTGTAAATTTTTACTAACCGAATTAACTGCAAATCATATGTCATACCAAATAGTCATGCCTAGCAAAAATTCAAAATTTTCAAGTTTATAAGTTGTTAAACAATCAACTTCACTTTTTATTTTAGGATGATCACTAACTAATTTAAATAAAACATCTCTTATTTGTACTAGAGTTTGAAATCTTACAGCTTTCACACTTTCAATAGGGCTTTCCCAACATGTTTGTGACAATGATTTAAGAGCTAAGCCATGTATATGGTCTTGTAAAATTTCCACCTTTTTGTAGAAGAAGAAAATAAAGTATATACATGTTGTAGCACTCCAAAGAAAGATGTAGCTTTAGGACAAGAGTTAACCATATCGCAAAGTACTAAGTTTAGACTATGACAATCACATGGAATATAAAACACTCTAGAATTAATATCAAGAAATCTTTTTTGCACACCAATGTCTTCCTTTCATATTAGATTTATTATCATATCCTTGTCCCCTAAGGTCATTAATATCAAGTCCAATAACTTTTAATTCATCTATAATAGCATCAAAAAGACCTTTTCCACTTATATCATCTACTTTTAGAAATTCTAAAAAATATTCGTTAACTTGTATTGTAGTTGATGAAATTCCACACACCGTAATACAAAAGATATTTGTTCTCCAGTACACACCGTAAGAAAACTCGCTCAAGGGTGTGTGAATAACTTTTTAATGTTTTCTGTTTTGACTTCTGAGTTTTCTGTTATGATCCTTGATAATTGCTAAGTATGAATACGTGTTTAATTTTAAAAATAGATAAGTTTTTATATGAATTAAAGAGTTATGTGGGTTCCTATGGGAAACCTTGAGAGAAACAATTAGGAATATGATCTTTTAACAAGAATTGAGGAATTTTATGTAAAATTGAGTATGGATTCATGTTTTTGGTGTTATTTGGAAGATTTTTACCGATTGATTTATATGATTACATGTTTGTTGTGAAAAATCATGTGATTTCAAAGTGTAGGTTCGGGTTGAGGGTGTCAAACACAGTTCTTTGCTCAAGGCACTAATTAATAGTTTCCTAGGAAAATTGAGTTGTGCTTAGAAAAATTGAGCCAAGCTCAGGAAAGTTGTGTTGGGCACAAGAAAGTCACAATGAGCGCATGTGAAGCTGCACCGGGTGGATTTCTCCACTTTAGATGCATTCCCCAAGGAATGCAATAGAACAATCAGAAAGAAAAACAAAAAGCTTTCATAATTTGCTTGTTCCTAAAGCATGCATCAGGCAAGGAATTAGGGTCAATCCGACTACCAAATAATTATTCTCACATCCTCGAGTGAGGTTTCTCACTCCTTCTTTACCTTGATGAGTAAAGGACGAAGCACGAACAGAATTTGATTAAAATAATAATTATAAATCAAGCTTTTATAATAAAATAGAGCTCATATAGATAATTAAATAATATCCAAGTCCTTTAATAAACACATTTAAAAATATTAATATAATTTTATGAGAATCAGGGTGTTACAACTCTCCCCCCCCCCACTTTTTGAAATTTCTTCCTCAAAATTTAACTATTAAGTACAACATCGGATATTCTTGCATTTGGCTCTCAAATTCCCAAGTCGCACTCTCCTCAGTTCCCTATTAGAAACCATACTAGTAGGGAAACCCATGTAACTTCACTACCTCATTGATGTACAACTTTATCAATCTCCCCAAGGAATATCTAATATTAATAAGGATAAAACAAGTAAACTTGGTGAATCTATCCATTGTAACCGAATAGGATCAAATTTCTTAAACATCTCAGGCAAACCTACAACTAAGTCCATCGATACACCATCTCACTTCCAAACTAGGACGTCTAAAGGCTGCAAAAGTCCTAAAGACTTCTAGTGTTCTACTTTAGACTTTTGGCATACTAAACACGAGTACACAAATTTCTCTACTTCTCTCTTCATCTTAGGCCACCAAGACATCTTCCTAAAGTCCTCTGATAGGTCTTAGTAGCTCCCGAGTGAACACTAAAAGTACTCGTATGTCCTTCTTCTAAGATCATCTTCTTAAATTCAGGATTACTAAGCACCCAAATTTTATTCTTGAATTTCAAAACAACACCAACTCCTACTCGAAAAAGGTTATCTATACTCCTACTAATCTTCTCCACTTGGTTCACTAACAAAGGATCTAACTCTTAAGCTTCTCTAATCTCATCCATTATTTTATTAGTCACTTCCACATACTCAATCTAATGCTCCTAGGGATAAGTTCACACATCATGTGTAACACCCCAATTTTTTTAAAAAGGTATTTTTCGGAAATAGGAAAATTTCCAATGGATTTTTCCTTTTTCCGACGGATTTTTACTTTTTCCGACGGATTTTAATCCGTCGGAAAAAGTGGCGTCGGAAAAAAAAATCCGTCGAAAATAATTTTCCGACGGAGAAATCCGTCGAAAAATTCTGTCAGAAATTGCTGTCAAAATTTTTGACGAAAAAATGCGTCGGAAATTTTA